ATTATTCGAACTGTACTAGAACCCAAACCACTTTTCCTGGTATCCAGACAGCCTTTATCTGTCGAAAAACAGGTCGCAATAGCTCTGTATAAATTAGCAAGTTGTGCCGAGTACAGAGTCGTTGGTGATGTGATGGGTGTTCACAAATCGACAGTTCGAAAGTGCTTATTTAGAGTGACCATGGCCATCAACAATGTCATGGTACAAGAAAACATATTTATGCCTTCTGAAGATGAAGCCCAGTTCATATCTCTCCAATTTAAAAAAAGAAGCTTTATTCCACAATTGATTGGGTGTATTGACGGAACACACATCCCAATTACCGCACCACATGAAGGTTATCGAGACTTTGTGAATAGGAAAGGATGGACATCATATAATGTAATGGCTGTTGTCGACCACAATGGAAGGTAAGCGTGAAAAACTGAGCTTGGAAAATACCGAAATCTAAAATTATTAAATTATCTGTTATATTAGGTTCAGAAATGTTGTAATAAAACATCCTGGGAGTGTGCACGATGCTGCCGTATTCAAGGATAGTAGCATATACAAGAATGCACAGACCATTATTCCTCAGGTAAATGTTAAATTATTTTGTTTGACGTAAGTTTGATTGTATTTTTATATGTAATACTAATATAATATATGAATTGTAGACATCTAAAAACATCGATGGTGTGGATATACCGTACATGATTGTAGGTGACCCAGCTTATCCTATGTTATCGTGGCTCATCAAAGGCTATTCAGGCACGTTATCAGCAGAAGAAGAGTCTTTTAATGTGTATTTGAACTCTGCACGAGTTTCAGTGGAAATGGCATTCGGTCGGTTAAAAGCTAGATGGAGAATTTTATGCAAAAAAATGGATTGTGCTTATACGTTTTGTCCACAAATCATTCTTGCTTGTTGCACGTTGCACAATTTTGTAGAAAGTCACAAGGAACGGTTTTTTCCTGAATGGTTAGACGAAGTGTCCAACAGTGATCAGTTGTTTCCTCAACCAATAGCTGTACAAAATCGTAATAGAGATTGCGTACCTGGTATAGCAGTGAGAAACCACTTAAAACAATATTTGGCAGCCAGTTATCCTCTGCGGAAAGCTCTCATCCGATAGTGGGTAGCAGTGGATATCAATATTATTTTCATGTGTATATTCGAATTAAATAATATAGTTTTGACATTTTTTAATACCTTTTATTTCTTTAATTTGTACATCTTTTTGTATGCAACATTATTACAGCTTTTATATGTGTACAGTACACCACATATTTTATAATAAAATATTCGAAGTTTGTCTCATAAACCTACCACTAATTCACAGTTATAGTAATTATCATAATTAATATCGCATTTTGAGATCAATGGAAAAATATTTATATATTTCCCGCATACACAACAAACTATTTATTTAATTAATGATTTATATTATATCTATAAATAAAAACAACTTTTTAAGAACTTGTAAAGAACAAATAAACCTTTTTGGAAACTATATCACAAGTTATTAAACAGCTTATATTTATTAATTTATCTTGTACCTATAAATTAATAAAAAAGTAAATTATAATAAAGCAACTTTTTGAACGAAATTAACATTTTTAAACAAAAGTAACATAATAATGAACGTACTTTTTAAACAAAATTAACATTTTGTGTAGGAACACGGCACCATAACTTCTAACTAGAAATAATCCCTAATATATCTTAAATATTTAAAACTGCAGTCTTCATATTATTCAAATTCAGTTATTGCGTTTCATAATAAAAGTTCTGTACTTTCGAATTTGGTTCCTTGCCTTCTATCATAGGAGATTGAATGATTGTAGAGGTGGAAGGAGGTTCTGTATAATTCAACTGTAAAAAAGAAAATTTTTAATTTAATTTTTATTGCCATCAAACTATGTCATTAATTTTCATCCGGTGAAACCGAAACTCTCATTAAATAAGTATGCAGTAGCTTTTCTTTTTAATGACTTTTGAGTAAGTTTATACATATTTATACGATCTTTTCTTGAATAATTATTTTTATAAAGAGCTTTTTATAATATAATTATTGTAAGAACTACTACGTCAATATGTAGTCCGACCTTTCGGAGATACATGTATACATGTATGTATATGTATGTATGTGGTATACATGCGTGTATTTTTGCCAACAAATACACTTTGAGACTTTCGAGAGGTCTTCGATACATTCGATCGCGTATCAATTTAAAGTGCCTTTTTTAGAAAGAATATTTTATTTTAAATAAATACACACATACTAAATAGTAAATACTTAAATAGTAATTTATTTCAATTATAAGTTATTTATTTACTAATATAATTAATAACTATTTAATAATATAATAAATAAAATATTTGTGATCAAAATAAATCACTGTTTCACTTTTTCAGACCAACAAAATCAAATGTTTTATTAAATTTATAAATATATTTATATAATATGTATAAATATATGTAGATAATCAAATAAAAAGGAGCATCAAGCCGCAAGAAGGTGGAAGTGTTGTAACATTCTATATTAAGGTACAGATTGACAAACGTTTCAGCCCCTTATGGGACCATCTTCAGTGTCAAATAACAATTAATTTAAGAAAAGTTAACATACGTTACATAATCTTACACTAATTTGTTGCGTTAATTTTAGTGTAAGAGTATGTAACATATGTTAACTTTTCTTAAATTAATTGTTCTTTAACACTGAAGATGGTCCTATAAGGGGCCGAAACGTTTGTCAATCTGTACCTTAACATAGAATTTTACAACACTTCCACCTTGTTGCGGTTTGATGCTCCTTTTTATTTGATTATTTTTAATCATGTGAGCCTTTTGATATATATGTAGATTGCATGCACTAGTTTTAATGTTGTGACACGATTAATTATTTAAAAAATTAATAAATGGATTTACCGAAATAAGTTTCAGCGGCTTCAAGGTGCTTTGTGTAGAACGAGCAGGGGTTTGAGATCTGATACCCTGCATACTGTTAGTAAATGCAGCCAGAATCAAGCTTGTTTGCTGACTTTGAAATTTTCGCTCTTTTTCTAACTCCTCTTCTTCCCACTTTCTCTGCTCCATCATCTCGTCATGGACCATTTGTTTTTGGAGTTCCATCTGCTTGTTTGTAATGCTGTTAAGTAATTCTTTTTGGTTTTCCAACCACTTGTCAGTATGACTCTGCAGCATTACTTCATAACTTTTTCTTCCTAAATATAAAATTTCTGTACTATAATACGTATATTATACATATGTAAATTAAAAATTATATATCTTCTAGCCCTATATCATTAGTTGTACTCTTATAAATCTTCAAATATGGACTAATAGCGTAGTTGAATAGAGCGTAGTTGCAAATTGTGATGTCATCTCTCAAATAGAAATACTTAATAAGGCTATAATAATAAACATTTTATTTATACCAGAAGTTTTTGTTCGTTTCTGTTTTTTGGCTGGTGGGACTTCATTTTCCTTATCTAACATTTCATCAGTCTCTTCAGCAGTTGTACAATTTATTGAATCATTCTCGTTATTAACTAAAATCAAATAAATAATAATATTAAGTCGAATAATTGATGGTACCAATTTGTATTTTCATACTTAACTATATATAATTGCATTAAATAAATATATATTACCTTCTTCCTCATTTATTTCAGCGGTGTCTATTCCTACTTGATCATCGCTGCTGCTAGCTAGGGCACTTGGCCTGCCTCCATATAATATATCTAACTCGTTGTAGAATGGACACGTTGAGGGAGCAGCACCACTGACATTATTATTTCTTTTACATTTGAAATATGCTGCTTTCAAATTTTTTAATTTTAATTTCATTTGCTCGGCTGTTTTTTCATAACCTTTTGCTTGCATTTCGGGTACCAGCATTCGGAAAATCTCTACATGCCGATGTTTCTTTCCATCAATTATACTTAAAATACTTTTTTCCGTGACCAGTTCGAGAAACGTTCGTGTTTCACCATCTGTCCAATTTGCACCCTTTTTACATGACATTTTCACTGTTGATATAAAACTTCTATTCTAACTTTCTAACTTTAACCTCAATCTAACAACAGTCAGCAGCGGCGGTATACACTTGATCCAATTCGAATCGAATCAAGCGTTTACAGCGCGCTGACATCTTTTGATACGCGTATCAACTTGGTCTGATACTCGCGATTGAGGAGTATCAGACCAGAGCGCACTAAAGTAATCCGCGAGCGTTTATACCGAGCGTATCAAACGATTTGATACGGATATAGCACTTGATACGCGTACCAAGTGCTCGGTGTAAACTAGGTCAATGTCGGGTGAATGTCAGAAACTAGTGCCGGCTCATTATAAAATAGGCCTATAATTGGGCCAACGTTGCGCCGCGTGATTACAAAAAGAAAAAAAACTTTTTTATTCTAACTTATCTGTAAAATAAAAAACGAATCATTATAAAAAAAACCTTACCCAGCACCATACACATGTCTAAAACCGCATAACCCGGGAAAAAAATCTCCTATTTATTCATATTAGTTTATATTAGTTTATATTAGTAGATACATGATTATACAATATATGATCATATAAGAAATGGAAAATATAATCTTAAACAATATTATATGGTCATATATATATGAGAATATATAATTATACATGGTCATATATAAGCATATACATATGCCATGATTATATACTCGGGAAAAAATACCTCTTATTTGTTCATATTAGTAAATATATAATTATATATAGTCATATAAGAAATAGAAATATAATTTTGAACAATATTATATGGCTAAATCTCTTTAAGTATAACTTTATATAGTCATATATGGTTTTATATACTAGTATATTATCATGTGTGATCATGTAAAAGTATATTTATAAGGTCAAAGATAATCATAAATGAATATATACTCTATAATGGAGCTATCCATATAAATTTGTATAACTGTTATAAATATTCTTCTAATAGTATATTATTTTACTTGACAATATCAAATTAATATAAAATATATTATTTTTAGTTTCAGTTTACACAATTGCGTTTTAAGTCCGACAAAGTCCATATATTGGCACGCAGTGCCAATTTAAAAAACTGAAATGTATTTAATAATAATTGATATTGTGAAATATTATTAAGCATCAAGATCCGCTTCGACCGAAAACGGCACTTCTCATTGCTTATATGTTATTTTAAGTTTTCTTTTTCTTCTAATTTTGCATAAGATACTTAATTGACATTTTTTTAATTGACATATTAATTTTTTACTTTCCATGGAAAGGTTGAAGGTTTGGTTGAAGGTCTGTTAATTTCCATGTAAAATTGTAGTACCTTATAAACATCTAAAAAAAGCAAATTTATGTAGATTTTCATGAATTTACGAGTTGTAAAAGACTTAAGGATTTTGTCGTTTTCTGTAGAACCTTGTAGTATTGTATGCAAAATTACAACCATTCACGAATCAGAAATTTATATAAGTAAAAAATTGTACATTTATGTATTTTTCTATTGGACTTTACAACACAGACTATACGAAAATAAAAAGATAAGTATTTTGATTTCTGCCAATTAAGAAGTAAGTATTTTGATAAGTATTTTGATTTCTGCCAATTAAGAAGTTATTAATAATAGATGAATTTTGGAACATTTTTGTAAAAACTTGTAACATTTAACTAAAAATTACAAATTTTAATTAGCCATAATTGTAATAAATTTTTTAGCTGTACAAACAAATTGGTATTTGTTAGTATTTGTACGCAGTTGTAGTATTTTATGAGAAACTAAAAACTGAATTAGATTCTAAGTTGCATAGTTTTACGATACGTAAATTGTAGTAGATTTCTTAGTCATTTATAAATAATTGTAGTATTCTACAAGTAAGCAGATGTTTTAATTTTTTAAGATTTTGTTTCTTCTTAAATTTTTAAAATTTGTAGATCTTTGTACTATTTTTTATAAAATTGTAGTTTTTCATAAAATACTACTTGCAATAATTTCTTGATCTGAGAACATTGTAATTTGTAGTACTATTTCGTAGATATTTCTACAAAAAGTAACTATTCCTACAAAAAATTAAATATTTCAACAAAAATGTACAAATTTCTATTTCTAGTTAAATTTTGTAGTTATTCATAGAAATTTTTTCCGCTAGGGTAGGGTCAAGTTACCGATAGGAGGCAACTCGGAGTTGCCAAGTGCGATACTTAATCTATTATTCGTTGTGCGCTCACAACACTTAGTGAATTTCCTCACTTTTGTAACTTTCACCTCGTTTCAAGAACCGTAATAAGCCCCCTTACTTATATATTAGATCCCAACTGAAATTTACTTGCAAGTTAGTCTTACCATTATGCGCCGCCTAGCGGCGTCGTTGCGAACTGGCACGGAAAAATGCGCTACCCCATGCATCTTTTTTAATTAAAAATATTTCATAATATTTCAAAAATATTTGAAAAAAGATTATAGAACTGTTTAAAAATAACCGCGTAAAGTACGATAGGGAGGAAAAGCAAAGAGCAATGAAAAACAAGTGGCGCTTGTCGTTGTCAAGGGCGCACTTCCGAATTCTGATTTTCTCAACGAAGAAGACAAAGCGACGATCGTCTCTCGTCACGTCGTTTTCTGCCATTCTGTCCGTACAATTTGAGCTAGCAACACGTTTTGATTAACGTTCTTTTACGTTTTGTAACATTGTGTTAACCAATTAGATTGAGTGATTTTATTGTAAAGAGTCATGTTAACTGCTTTGCGTGCGCTCTCAAATCATCTATTCTTGATTGTGGACGGCGAATTCCAACGAGAGTTGAAGAAGAGATTTTCATCGCATAACGACTACGGATCGTGCCAGCCATTTTGTGAGCTCCTCCATACAACGAAAGAGCATCTTCGCCAGCCGTCCATAGAAATAATTGAGAGAAAGGAATGATGCCGACACGACATCATTCAGCCAGCTCCTAGTGCCGACACGACACAAGGAACCACGAGAGATTTTCTCTCTGTCTGTTCGGTTCGACGAACTGTTCATCCTGAACACAGGTATTTAGTAGAGTTTCAATGAAACCCGAGAAGAGTTTGTGATGTAACTCTCTTGGTTTTAGAAACATCGCTCAATCGATCAAGGTTTGAGCCAATTCAATGCAAGACGTCAATATAGAAAGATTTTGTGAGAACAAGACGTTCTTTTCATTATAATTTATGTTAAGTAAAATCATTCAGTTACTTTAACTATAATTTACAATAACTTAACAAACGTTTGTCATTGCTCAATTTAAGCCAATCTTCACTGTAATTTATTTCATCAAAATTTCAGTTAACATCTGTTTAACGCATCTAGCTAAAACATTGTTAAATTCCGTTGATATCGTGCATGTTTTGACGTGATATTTGACATATTATGCATGCTCTGATGTAATATTTAACATATTGTGTATGTTCTAAAGTGATATTTGATATATTGTGCATGTTTTGTTGTGATAATTGTATAATTTTCATGCCTTGATATGTTTACATATGTTAAGATATATTCTGATAAACTAAATTAATATTTTGTACATGCTTCTTTAAACAGAACACAAAGATAATAGTTCATTTCTTATAAGTACAATTTAATTCTAGTTCACATTGTCCTTTGAGTTCATGCTTAACCCTCCGTAGTCACACCGGGTCAATTTGACCCGATCCTCAACTTTGGTCGTAAATATCTTGCGCGTAACTTGAAAATTGGCGGGCATGACGTCCTCTAGCTGTTGTTAAAAAAAAAATTTTTTTTAAAACACAAATTTTTTGCGAATTTTTTTTATATGTTAAAAATTTCTGAGGCCTTTTTTTTTATAGCAATCAATTTAGCAATATCGCAAGTGCATTCGAGAATTTTTTCAACACGATTGGTGGATAAATGGTCAAATGGCGAATGGTCAAAGTTCGTCTCGGGTCAAAATGACCCAGAGTGACTTCCTTGTTTGAAAAAATAGGTGTGACTACGGAGGGTTAATTAAAGATTACCATAAAGAAAGATATAGGCTCTCTAGATTAACACAATGTGAATAGGAGAGGCAATTAGAGCCAAGCGCGGTAATCAAAGCGCAAACAATTTATAAAAATAAATATATATATATTAATGTACGTTTCGATACATTATTCGTATCCTCTTCAGCGTTAAAAGTTACATAAAGTCAAATACGAAGATTAACAAGAATAATAAAAAAAAAAGTCGAGTATAAGGCGTAGTCAATGGTTTGAATTTACAGACCGATGCGGAGGGTTTACCGGACGCGTATTTAAATGTGATCGAGAAACTGTCTAAAATTTAGAACAACTTTATGCGAGAGTTTATCCCCTCCTCTGGTTTATACACCAGTCTCTATTATGTTAACCTTCCCACCTATGCCTCACTCATTCGTGACATTTCGAACCGTGACGTTTGTTGTTACAATGCGATATTCCGGTCTGCAATTGCTCTGTAAGTAAATCCATTAGTCATCTGATTTTAACATAGATAATTTACGCCTTTACCACATTGCGACTCCGTTTGATGGTACAGGTAGGGCTTTCAAATCTTTCTTACCCACCTGGTCTTTTAACCTGGCGAGATTATTTCTAAGATGCGAGGGATGTGGAGCGAGTGCTTATACCGGCGTATCTGGAATTTCGGCAACGGTACATCCATAGGATTTCAATCCTTGTTTTTTTTTAATTTTGACTGCGTCTTTTATACTTTGTTCGTCTATTGACTACGCCTTATACTTGACTTCTTTTTGATTATCCTTGTTAATCTTCGTATTTGACTTTATGTAACTTTTAACGCTGAAGAGGACACGAATAATGTGTCGAAACGTACGTTAATATATATATATATATTTATTTTTATAAATTGTTTGCGCTTTGATTACCGCGCTTAGCTCTAATTGCCTCTCCTATTCACATTGTGTAAAGATTACCATTTTCTTTAAATTCAAGTTATTTATAATTTAATAGCTTACATTGTTCAATAATACTTCATTCCGTTGATTCATTCTTTTATAGTTTAATGTAATTAATAACTCAGAGATAAACAAGAACTTCATCTTCTTCTTATCAGAATATATTTGTTTGAATTTATTTATGCCATATATATTTGATTATGTATAATTTTAAACGTTGATAGTAAAACTCAAGTTGTATTTTACTCACTCATTTATAAAAAGAGTGTTCGAACAATTATAAACGAATTATTGATCTCAATTGGTATTGCTCTCTTCCTTTCTCGTACAGTTCAATACAGAGCTCTTTAACAAGAACCAATAATATTTTTAAATATTTTGGAACAAGATTATAAAACATTAATGTTCGCGAAATCGCTGATTAATCCCGGCGATGGAAGCGGGATGAGAAGGACGCGCGTGGAAGGTGTTAACTAAATATTCACTTTATTTTTGTGTAACTCAGACCACAATCTGAGCCGTCTTTAATGCGTCTTTGATGCGTCGAAATTGATACAATCTGACCTGAGAATCGATGAGCGGTGTAGTG